TTCTTCCTTCTTTTGTTCCCAAATACATTGCAAGTCGTTCTTTGTCAACAAACCACCACTCCTCTGGCCAAATGTAGGAATTTTCTAAGTATCCTTTTGTTCCATTAGTAGTTAGCAACATTATAAACCCAATGCGTCCAGCTGTGTATCCCGGTAGCTCGTCCCAAATTCCCCCCGCCTTAGATTCGTAAGTTTCTGGATACATACAGAGGAACTCTTTAACCGGATATCCATGATCCACGTAATCGGCTGTGATTGTCACCAAATTATAACTTCCCTTACACCTGAAGGCTTCCCACTCCGGAAATGGTGTCCACTCGCTTTGTTCTGTCTTTGTTACTGGCGTGTTGTTCTCAATTTCCCAAGTGCTTGTATTACTACTCCACTCGTTATTGCACTCCCCACTCTCCTGGCTCGCCTTGCTCCGATCCTCGCTCCTGAGTGTGGTATTGTCCCAGTCATGAGACTCCGTACTTCCCGATCCTTCCTCTTGTCTTATCAATTCCTTGTCTTCTTCCCCTGAGCTGTCCATGAAATCCGCGTAATTTTCGATCATCATGCTAAAACATTTGTCGGCTATCCTTCGAGGAGGGGCCATTTCCCAACCTGGAATCTTGGGAGAGCAAATAGGTATGCATAATCTTCCTCCATCCCATAACTCGTAACTCAGTATCTCCCCACGATTCTTTGATAACTCTAGACGTACCTTATGATCTGCTAGGAATGGCCTTCCCAACACTGTGTATACTTTACCTCGAGCAATAAAGAAGTTAGCACCCTTCTGTTCCTCCTCGTCAATACAAAGATGAACACCTTCAGCTAGCCCCACAATGGGTGTTGAGTGTCCTCCAATTCCCATGATATTCATACTAATTTCGCGTAACGGTAGCTTCAACTGGATTGCCAAGGTTTCCGGCATAATATTCATTTCGGCTCCCGTATCCACTAGTGCTCTGATTTTCTGGCCAGCAATCCAAACCTCAATAAACCCCAAAGGACAGGCATAAGTAAGTGCATTATTGCCTAATTTCATACTCTTTTCCCGATGTTGATGAGGCTCCCTATCGTCAAAATTCCTATGATCACACCTCCCCGAGTTCTGACTTCGCTCCCGTGGGATTGAATTGTCTTCTGCTTCTGTCTGTAATTCCTGAAGAAACTTGGGTGCAATTAATAATAATTCTTCCAAGGTAAGTGTGAAACTTTGCTTTAGAAATTTCTTTCTAAGTCCCCCCCCAACTTTAGACTGATCCACGGTTCGGGGAAATACTTCTTTGGCTGATTTTTCTTCCATCTTCTTCTCTGGTGTTTGTGACACAGGTTTCTCCGCTTCTGCATTGTCGCCGTCGCTACTTTCATTGTCCGATTCTCCTTCCATCCATGCTCCCGGATAACTTGGTCGTCTCTTGCGAGTAGTTGTGGAATCTTTATTAGCTTCCTGATTTCCTGGCGGAGTCTTTGAGATAGATTCCTTTGGTTTTCCAGAAGTTTCTGGTTTGGATGCTGGTGGCTGTACTTCCTTCTCCTTGTCTTTATTGGTTCGAGCGGACCTTTGCAGCCCAAATCCAACCAAATTCTCCTCGTCTTCCTCCCCGTAGTGCATTTCCGGTGGACTCCATGCTTCCCATCGATTCGTAGAGATCATGGACGCCGTTGGTTCTTGTCTTGGTTGTGAAAACTGATCACTCATCATCAGATTCGCTCGTTTCTCACTGTTCTCCTTGGCTGCATTTGACTTTTCACCAAATTTTCTTACCAATTCTCGAATTGATTCTCCGGTGTCTGTTGGAATGACTTCCCGGTTGGGGTAATAGAAGTTCGGACCTTGCTTGAAAACAAGACGTTTAGTAATATCTTCATTTAAGTGCTGACAGAACATGGAGGTATGGTCCATCTCTTTGCAATAAAAACATTGCAGCTGTGGTCTTGGAAATGACGGTCCTCCTGGTCCTGGCGGTCTAAATCCTGCATTCGGTGGTCTCGGCGCTGAAAAGTGAGGTGGAAATGGTCTAGCGTTTTGATTGGTATTCATTTCGGTTCGTAACTTCTTAATTTCCTCCTCCAAGGCCTTCACTTTGTCTGTTCCGCTATCTGATTTTGTCTTGGACTGAACTTCTCGTTTATTCTCAGATTCCTTGGTAGCAGGTTTAGCTTTAGGAATGCCAACATCTAAGTCATATACTGACAAAGAGGCTTCCACGTAATCCTTCAACACTTCCAACTTGGGTACCAGCGCCTTTCCATCCTTGGTCTTCTTTAATTTCTTGTCGTGCGCCAACTCCTTTGCCACGTCCCGTCGCATCTCGGTCGAAATCGCCTTCCAAAGTGGTTCGCCACTTGTCGCATTCACGTCCTCGTAATCCATCTTCGTCAAATACGCCAAAATCTCCTCGAGTTCGCCAATAAACGTCCTATACTCCTCCTTCGTCTGAATCCCGCCTTTATCCATGTACTTGCTGACCAATGTCGAAACCGAGTTCTCGTTAAATCGCCTAAGAGGTGTCGCTCGTCCCCATTTCCGAATGAGTTCCTTCTTCAAAAGTTCCCAATCCCGATTCTCGTGTCCTTCCATATTCTCAATACACTCGCTAATCTTCTTGTCCTTAATCATGAATGGTAAATGAAGTGCTACATCCTGTCCGCCGGCTTTGTGCAAGGAAGCTATCTTCTCTACACGTTTGATAAATAATTCCACTTCTGACTCGTCAAAGTCTAAGTTCAACTTCCTTGTATCTAGAACTACACCCTTTTTCTTCATCGACC